GACACTTCGTCATTAACGTCTTACTCATGCTCGATTAATTTGTGACGAATACCACCTACGCATACGTCAGTGGGTGTCTACGGCGAAAGACATTCGGATTTCTAATGTCTTTACTGTGGCCATAAGTTCAAATGCCCAATCGCAGCCCCATTTACACAGCTATTACGCATTAATTGAGTTTTTGAAATATAATTTTTATTTGCTATTAATATTTTTACAAATTGTTTTATCTGTGGTGTTTTGCCTTTTCAATTTTGTTCAACAGTTCTATGTTATTTATCTGCGTGTATTTGCTTGCCATGACATTGAATAGTTGCCTTTCGGTAATTGGTTATCCTTGTGTAGTTTTAGTTCTGGCCGACTTGACGGGATTATTCATATGTAGCCTGGTATTGGTATTCAGTAAAACTTAGTGCGCTAAGTGTTGAGTGAGCGGCTCCCGATTCCGCAATGGGTTTCATTTAGGATCTGGACCCGAATATTGGGATCCCACAATGTTCCGAATGTTAGATGTAAGCTAGGTTTAAAAGATTGCAAATACATATTAATATTGTTGTGGACGTTGCGTTTCCAGTTTTGTCATTGGTTAGATTTAGTTTCGAGCTTTAGGTCGTGGCATATTTTAGCAATTTAATTATATTCAAAGGCCTTGGATCATTGGAAGCCAATTATTGGGGGTTTTTTTGGTGTTAAATTTCACTTGGGAATTTATTCGGCGATTGACAGACATAAGTACCGTACTTGACTTGCAACTAGTTCATAGATTAGTATATATAAATATTTGCCAGTCATATGTCCTTAGTATATCTACCATATATACACAATCCATATGTCCTTGCCACATCCCCTCGAGGGACGCTTAGTTTTCCTTACTTTACAAATAAATTATACTCCATTTATTGTCAAAAATATTGACGACTCGCGATTGCATTATTCCTGGCATTACACATGAGTTGCTGTATAATATGATTATTATGTTTACCTCTAGTCTTATCAAAAGTGATCTGCCCAAGTACTTAGGTAATTGTTTTCAACTATACCACCTTGTGATTAGGTGATTAAATTCAACATTTTATTAGCCACCATTGTCATGTTCTGTCTGCAACTGCAATTGAAACGATTTCACCGGAGATTTAGATGAGTTTTTCGAATGGAATGTTAATTAACTTTTGTCTTACGATGCTCCAATGCAGATATATTTAATATAATTACTCTCCCTCGGCTCACCGCACTTTACTTGACAAGTCTATCTGCAAATTCTGGGATGTTGTGTGGGCTTAATAAAAATATATATCATATTTTTATGTGTATATATATCCGCTCTAAATGCTGCATGCTTTAGGATTTTATTTCGCAAACAAACTTTGAAAAAATAATAGAGAAATGCTGCAGGCTCTTGTTGCTTTCTTACACTATATGCAACCCGTGCAAATATATTATGCATGTATATATGTATACAAAATAAACTTTGCTTTCACATTGACGCTTGCATAAAAATGTTAATCAAAAAACATTTTCCCTTTTTTTTTGTTATTTTGAGACGGGGACATAGACGGTGCAATTGTTTGGCTGTGAATATTTTGGGAGGGAATGGCATGGTATATGCAGTACGGCTATATAAGCTGGGTTTAAAAGCTAGACTAAGGATTATAAATGGCTTATGAGTTTTTGATTAAATTTAAATTGTAGTTCTCTTGGTGAGTGTTTATCATTTCGGTTTATACTTAGGCACAATACATTTATTTTGTTTTATTTGTAGTTTTCACATGACTTTTCTTTTTTTGTAGCTGTAACTTTTTGCTAAATATTTTCGCTTCGCTTACAACTAATTTCTACGCATAAAAACGTGTGTATATGTGTGTGTGTGTGGTGTGTGGATGTATCTGTGTTATGGCTAATTATTTCATATATTATGGGATTAGCTTTGCATTTATCTGCAATAATTTCTACTACATTTTAAACATCTCAGCCGCTTGGCAATTATTTAAAGCTTTTCACAATCATTTTCATATATGCAAATTAAAAAATATAATAGGATTACAAAATCTTTTCAATAAATAATGTAGAATTGTTGTTCTTGAACTATTTATTTACGCATATTAACGCGTATTGGTGTTTCTGTTAGTTTGTATGGGTAGTTAACTCTCGTTCTCACGAAGTTTTTACAAATATTGCTTAAGTTTCGCATGTGGTTGCTTATGATCGCAAAATGCATTTCCAATTGGTCTGGTATCATAATTTACGATATATAAATCAAACGGAATATAAAATGCTCGCTTGATTGAGGCTAAATAGGCATTTGGCTGGGAGTCCGAAGCTGGTCAAGTTATTGGCCAATAACCCGCCGCTTGCCTGTTGTAAACACAAATTTATTTTCAACACAGAACATAACGCACAAAACTGCGAATACAAAAGTTATTGAATTACAATAGGCTTTAGGGACTTTAAACTATACACACATGTTGCTTACTATCAGCTTACACACATTTCGCTTAGTTTTGTTTTTCTGTTTAACAAAATATGCGCTAGGTTTTCTACGAATGCTACAAAGTAGACAACAATTAAAACTTTTTATCTGCTTTCCTTCTGTTTAGTTATGCATGTGTTGTGATCCTCTTGAATCTTAGTTAATTTATGACTTGCATTCTTGCTTAGGGTGATTAACTCTCCGCCTGCTGGTTGGCCGTAAACTGCGTAATGCCATCTTTCTCCATCGACTCCAGAATATCGGCCACATACACGGCAACATCAGTGTGGCTCGTCTCCCCACGACGAATGAAGGGCATCTCCAGCAGCCGGCTATACTTGGGTCGATCGCTCTCCTTTTTAATTAGGCTTAAAAGATATTAACGCATAATTAGCCATTGTTATAAAACTTCCTATTGCTTATTGGTGCTTACCAAGTATTGACAAAGTCCACAAACTCTTTGGAGAACTCCATGCCGTTATAGGATGTCATAAGTCGCGGCGGTTCGCCTTGCACAACCTAAAAATGGGTAAATATAAATACAAAAGCCAAAAAACTAACAAAACAAGCTACTAATATAATGTTTTGATAATTTATTATATGAAAAATACAAAACACGATAAGACCAGCAGCCAATAAAATGAGTCATTAGTCAATCTGCTTTATATCTTTACGATAATTCCTAATGACGAAGGGCACAAGACAGAATGATTCAAACATTCAATTAGAAAAACTACCTTATTGAAAACTGGTAGAAATTGTATATATAATATGTTTACCTGACACAACTGCTCGAAAACAGAGTCCCATTTGCGATAGGGGAAATTACCAGTCGCCACTTCCATCAAAGTTATGCCCAATGACCAAACATCGCTACGTACATCGTAGCCCTTGGCACGCTCTGGATCAATGCGCTCCGGCTGCACAAAAGCATACAATTGTGGTTAATATGTCGTGGAATCAAATAGGTTTCATTACCGCCATGTAGGGCCTGCAGCCCGCATCCTTGGTCTTAGCAATAGAGTCAACCAGCTGACCCGAAATACCGAAATCACACAGCTTTATGTCTCCGCGACGGTGCAATAGAATATTGCTCGGCTTCACATCCCGATGAATAATCTTAAGCTCCTCCTTCAGATAGTTCAGCGCATTGACCGTAGCCACTGTTATCTTAGCCAGTATGGACTCTGGAATGTGGCGTTGCTGCTTTTCGTAGATGTATTTGTAAAACTTGTCCAACGAGGTGTCCATCAACTCCATACAAATCCAGCAGTCCCCCTCCTTGAACAGCGCACCATAGAACTGAACGATGTAGATGCACTCGTTGGACTTCATGACCACCTCGAGATCCATGAGCAGCTGCTTCTGTTCCTTTTCGTCTACGGTGGATCGAATGCGCTTCACAGCCATTACCTTGTCCAGTTTCTTGAAGATCATCTTGTTGACTGCCCCAAATGCACCGCGTCCAATTTCGCCCTCATCCTCGAGATCGTCTGATGTAAATGTGTGTGTATTGGCGGCGCCCTCACCAAACTGTAGCTTGCCACAGGCCTGCTGCCGAATACGCTCCCGGTGACGATCGGCAGCGCTGCTGCTCGATGTTGCCGGTACCGGTGGCACATGACTGCTGGCCACCGGAGGGGTCTGCTGTGGCTGCTGGGCGCCAAAACAGCGGGTCACATGGTTGTGCTGTGATGAGGAACTTGAGCCCGAGGAGGTGGATCCCGAAGAAGTGGACGACGTGGACGAGGGCGGATGGCGTATGCTAAGATTGTTCAGGCTTAGCTGATCCGGGGGATTGCGGGAGCGACTGGATCCGGCTGTAAAGTGGAGGAAATGGGAGAATAATCAATGAATTTAGGAGGATTCATGGATGGCTTATTGCCGCTGCACCCGATTCCCAAACTATGCGTCACCCAGCGAGTATGTGTACCTCCTCGCCTGCATGTGTGTGACCTGCGTGGGCGGCCCGACACCAAAAGGGTAACTCACTTGCAAACAAATTTTTCGGTCGCTCGGCCATTGTGTGTGGTGGCTGAAAGTATCGATGTGCCTTTGTGTGGCTGTCCTAAGGATGTTTTGTCCGTTTTCTGCAGGCGCCGCGCCCCGAATATAACACGTCGACTTGATGCTCCTTTGGCTCTCCGATCGCCTGGTTACTGGGCCGCCTTTGATGGGCTCTTCGCCGTTTGCAACGCAACTACTTTTTCAGCAATCGAGAGCACTGATATGCACTTTTTCCGCAATTTCGCTAAACATTTACATAAATAGCAACCAAAACTTAAAAGAGCTAGAGATGAAACATTGATTATTTGCGGCCAATCGATAGCCATCGATAGTCTGCGGACTAGGATAGCGATAGGCAGCCCTGCACGGTGCGAAAATAGTGAGGTGGATTTTCTAAAGACTTTAAAAGTTTCAATTAAAACTAATTATTTCTTTAATACCATGGGTTTTTAGTTTACTTTTTTTCACACATTAGGTCCACTTGCGAAAAATGTCTACTATCTGATAAATTTACTTCCATCATACGTGGGTTCAACGCATACGAATGACGATCTGCGTCACCTTAAAATCAGTGCACAATCAACAGCGGTTTGAAAACAAAAAATTAAAAGCTACATAATCATGTCCAACGGATTCGTGCGCAGCAGCTACAAATTGTTCGTCGGCAACCTGCCGTGGACGATAAGCAGCAAGGAGCTGCGAACCTACTTCTCGAAATACGGACACGTGGCCAACGCGGAGGTGGTCTTCGACCGGCAAATGGGCCTGTCCAAGCACTATGGCTTCGTGGTGTTCAGCCAGCGGGATGCCTTCAACAGCGCCAGCAACCAGAACACCCACTTCCTGGAGGGACGGGTGCTCACAGTGCAGCAGGCCAATGAAAGTCCTCAGAGCTAATAGATTATGAATTTATTGATTTATTGGTTAGACCGAAAGGAAAGTATGAGAAATATCTGTTAAGCAGCTTAGTTGTACAGAAATGAATGGAGCACTTGTTTCAAAACCTGGCATCTTTGATTCATTTATTGGGCAAGTAGAACTTGCTGTTGGTGCCCACCACGTCCGCAACATTATTGTGACCTAGCCGGGTGATTAGCGCCGACAGCTCTGCCTTAATGTCGTCCACGAGTGCGGGTCCCTCGTACACCAGAGACGTATATATCTGAATGTACGAGGCCCCCGCTTCGATCTTTTCGTATGCATCATAGCCGGAAGCCACCCCGCCGACGCCGATGATGGGAATCTTCCCATCGGTGAGCTGGTACATCTGGGCAATCATCTCTGTGGAACGTGCTTTGAGTGGAGGGCCACTTAATCCGCCAGTTTCCTCGGCCAGCTTGTTGTTTCCGATGTTTTCACGCGACACCGTGGTATTGGACACGATCAGGCCATCCACGGAGCTCTTCTTGCGCTTGATTACCCACACGATGTCCTTCATGTCGTCCAACGATAGATCCGGCGAGAGTTTTAGGAGTATTGGCACATTCTTGTTCTTATCCAGAGAGTTTTTCGTGTCGTTCACCTGTTCCAGGAGCTCTCTTAGCTTCTCCTTGCTCTGCATATCCCGCAGGCCCTTGGTGTTCGGACTGCTCACATTAATGACCAGGTAATCTGCAACGGGCCCGAAGATCCGCACACCCTGTACATAATCGGCTATCGGACTCATGGTAGTCTTGTTCCGTCCCAGATTGACGCCCACAACTCCATTGAAGTTCTCTTTTTTGCGGAGCAGGCGCAGCCTTTGGAGCACCGCCTGATGACCCTCGCTATTGAAACCATACCGATTGATGATGGCCTTGTCATCGGTCAACCGGAAGACCCTTGGCTTGGGATTGCCCTCCTGGGCAGCCGGGGTGACTGTGCCCACCTCTATAAATCCAAATCCTAGATCCTGCAGGCCGTTCACCGCCTCCGCGTTTTTATCGAATCCCGCCGCAATTCCAATGGGATTGCTTAGCATTCGGCCGAAGAATGGAGTCTGCAAGTTCTGGTCATCATGGTACTGTGAAACCGGGCACAGGCGGTACTTGCACGCCAGCACAGCCAGTTGATGACTGGTTTCCGCCGGAAGAAGTCGCACTGCTGGCATCACGAAGGTCCGGAACAACTGGTCCTGCTGCTTGTACGCCGTCATGCCCGCCATCAAGGCAGCTGCTCCGACTGTAACGATGCCCAGCGACCGCAGACGACCCTGTGGGCGGAATCATGATGTAATCCGCCCCGTTTAAGCCGTACTTTACTCACAACTCTCCGCGTGGCCTTTTTGGCATTCTTTAAGTGATCCTGATCCATGACGACTATCGCCGGATATCGATTGTACCCGATAAAGTATTAAAAGTATAATAAGTAAAAAGCATGTGTTGATTCTAATAGACTTTTAACAAAAATTTAATTTAGGAGAAAGTCGTGTCATTTTGAAGGAAAATTCATGAAATGCCGATCATGCGTAACACTTACTACAGTACAAATTGATATCATTGATGCCAATTTAGCCTTTTTCCGGGCAGATATGTCCTGTTTTGGTGGACGGAGTGATCAGGTACTTTATGGTAAGTTTAATCCGATCACTTTTACCCGGTATCGCTTTGGAAATCAGAGTGACCGAAGGGAAAATATCATCGATCCCTACTCTAAATTAGAAGACATGCCTTACAGTCTTCACTAGAACTAGTTGGGAATTATAGGGCTACAAGAAAATATTTTTCCTAAACAAATATTGAAAGCGGCAATAACTATGGTTTCCGACAGTAAGTTAAACATTCTTCAGGCTTTATTTAAGACAATTTTTACTACTCACTTTAAAGACCTCACCATTTCACTCACCAATATAATTATGACAAAATAATAGATTATTATTTAATTACTTACAGCTCGAGATTAATTTAGTAGCACTTTGTATACGAATAAACATAAAAATATATATCTCTTTAAGTGTAGCGTAATCAATTTCTTTACAAGAATTTTATATTGTATTTTAATTATTTTTAATGACTACATATTTTAAAATAAATATTATAACAAGTTCATACAAATGTTCGAAATGTTATAATATTATATTATAATTTAATATATTATTATAATATTTTATAATCACACTTAAGAACACATACACTACACTCTCTGCTGGACCGGTAAGAGAGATTACTTGAAATATTTTGTGGCTCTAAATTAGAAGACATTCCTTACAGTCTTTACTAGAACTAGTTGGGAATTATAGGGCTACAAGAAAATATGTTTCCTTAACAAATATTAAAAGCGGCAATAACTATGGTTTCCGACAGTAAGTTAAACATTCTTCGGGCTTTATTTAAGACAATTTTTACTACTCACTTTAAAGACCTCACCATTTCACTCACCAATATAATTATGACAAAATAATAGATTATTATTTAATTACTTACAGCTCGAGATTAATTTAGTAGCACTTTGTATACGAATAAACATAAAAATATATATCCCTTTCAGCGTAGGGTAATCAATTTCTTAACAAGAATTTTATATTGTATTTTAAATATTTTTAATGAATAAATATTTTTAAATAAATATTTTAACAAGTTCATACAAGTGCTTGAAAGTATTTTTTTTTTTTCAGAAAAATATTGGCATCACTGATTGATATACTAATCTAATAGGATTCGTTTATTTCTGTGTAGCAAATTGACCCCGTCCATGCCTTAAGAAAAATCGATATACCGCCAGTGTCATCTCTAATGATTGAGTCAGTTTGTTATGGCCAGCTGAAATTTGGAAATTTCGTTCTATAAGCGCTGATTTAGCAACCCGGGGCAACCATGAAGGGCGGTACCTTTCGCAACACCCAGTGGGATCCCACGCTGCTGTCCTCGCAGATTGTATCGATGCAGTTCTGCGTGTACTTCACGCTTGGCCTACTCGTCTTCGTGGCCAACAAGTTGTCCGGGGACAACTATAGTCTGGATCACTTGTTCGAATACCATGTATGCCATATGCTATATATATCTATCTTGTAAACCCCGTGTTTAACACTAGATTTTTTTCTTGCTTAAAGGAGATCCACATCTACGACATGGGCGGCCGACTGGTGATCTGTGCCTTTGTTTTAAATGCATTCATAGCCTCCCTGGCACTGTGGTGCATAGTGAGAAGAGCCAAGCTCTGTCTGGACTTCAGGTGGGCACCTTTAATGAGCTGAAAAAAGGCGGAGAAATAAACTTAATCGTTTGCTTTCACAACTCACCCTCCTCTTTCACGGCAGTTGCACCTTCCACGTCCTGCATTTGCTCATCTGCTGGTGGTACAACCGCTCCTTTCCCGCGAACGCATCATGGTGGCTGCTGAACGTCATCACCGGCACAATAATGTGCATAGGCGGCGAGTTTCTCTGCCTGCAGACCGAGATGAAGGAGATCCCAGTGGGCTATGCGGCCCTCAATCAAAAGTCGGACGTCTGACTCTGAGCCACCAACTTGTGATGCCTGCTATCCCAACCAAGCCACCCAAAGCAGCTTCTGTGTACATGTAATTTATTGTTAAACTAGCGTAAGATTACATAGCATATAAACACTATACTGTACTCCTTCTCTCAATGTAATATCTGGTAAACGAACGGCGGTCTTTGCCGAAGCTTAAGTTCCTCAGGTACTGCTGACGGCGGCAGTGAGTACTTAATTCCAGATCCACTGTAATTGTTGGATATCATAGACCAAAATGACTCCTCGCGCGGCACAAACATCCAGTAGCTGAAGGCCAGCATAAAAGTAGCGATCAGCGATGCCAGAAGAAGCAACATCCAGCACAAACCTTGATGTGGCTTCTGCATACTGGTCGTGTTTATATGTTAGGAGTCTGAAATTGACACAGCTGAGATCCGCGAATACAACAGACTGCACTGAAAATTCCCGACAGATCGCCGAAATAATAATAAAACGGGGTGTGGCCTAGTCAAGAGCCCACGCTGTTTAAAATTGAAAAATCCAGCGTTCAAGTAGCGGGGAGCTTTGCTCTTCAAGCAAATTTATCTGGCAAACAACGAATCGACAAGCTCCCCTTCAGAAAACATCAGAGCAAACTAATCAAGTTGCCCTATCTAATCTAATTAGCAAGCGGGGTAGGCATCGCCACGATCGCCACATCCATGCATTTTCCACTTACGATTCGCTCCCCACGATTTAAACTTTCAATTATACTGATTGCTTAAATGTGCATAATTGAAGCTTTGATGCATGGAAACCGGTGGTGACAAAGCTCTCGTATTAGAAGCTTCTAAAGGTTCACTAACCTATTCTATAGATACGCCACTCTTTAATTATACAAATATGCCCAGCAGATCGTCGCAGATGAAAATCCGATTGTGTATACAAAGATCTTTTACACTGCAACCGAAACGCAATGGGTCGGAAACCCTACTGAACTAAAAACAAAGAACAGGTAACTTGTCAATTCTTATCGATGGAGCTAACTCAACATGTGATATCAGTAAGTAAATAAATCTTAATCGAACTAATTTAGGAAAAGATAATAGGGCGCCCAAGGAATTAGTTCTAAATGTTGGTGCTTTACAAGCGTTATCTGACAATCTGCTAACCAAAAAAACAACCCTGTTAAACCAAATCCCGAAAAAATTAAAACAACGATACGAGTTCTTTTTCCATTTGCTAAATTATTAATTTTTAGTTTAGCAAACTTGTTTTTTTTTAATTACTTGTTGTTTGTGTTGGTTTCTTGTTTCATATAGTACATTATATCTCGATCTATATATTTATTAATATATATACCATTACTATTTTTATGTTTTCTTCGTTTAAAATCATCAATTGAAGTTCAAGGATTTGCGCATTCATCATTTCGATTCGATATCGACTTTATTTATGTCCATATCGACTATATTTATGCCTATATATATATATATATGAATATATATATATATATATGTATTTTAAGAGTTCCAAGAAAAATGATGTGTGAGAATTGTAACTTATGGACAAAAATTCAAAAATTGTATCATTTGCTTAAATATTCTTAATA